GATACCAACTGTCACAATCGCACTTTAACGGGACTTAGGAAGCGATTGTGCGGCACTTGCTTTCACCCTCTAGCAAGTCAGCCAATGCGGAAACGAATAGCCGGTGGCACAGAGGCTATATGTCGCAACCTCCACCCCCGTTCTCGAGAAAACGGTTTTGGAAAACGAGGTTAGAGAAAAAGGTTTTGGAAAACGTTTGTAAGCATTTTGGAAGTTGTTGTAAGCTTGAATGCAAGAGAATAGATTAGCGGCACAAGAATACAACGCAATGTAGGGAGGATGACTAGGTGTACCCCCCTAAGGTAGATTATAAAGCATTTTGCCTTTGGCAAGCGTGAACATGCAAAGTGGCGAGGAGTCACTCGCCACCAAAAGTCCAAGGAAAACTAAATAACAAGCAAAACTAAATACATGTCATCAAAGTACGTGGAAAGAGGTTGTTATGGGCATGCGGCCACGGGCAACAGGCCCTGGACAAGCATGACCATGACAATATGCGTCCACGGTGATCCTACGCCGGCCGGTTGGTGTGTATATATCCTTCAGTTTCCACGAATAATGGCGCTTGCGTAGCCCCCAGCCAGTTGGGGCATGCTGAAGGTCAGATTCGTCCTGGTCAAGGTACGGTTCAACCTAAACCACAATAAACAAGTAAGGTCGAGTAATGACAATTGACAAAATGCATGACATTAAGTCTACCTTAACGATCGCGTAGAGTGCCCATTCCTTATAGGGACGCCTAACTCGTTGTCTCGTGGGCTGCGTATCTGGTTGAACATCCGCTCTTGCCTGCCAACGGTGAGATCCTAATACACAAAAAATATTAATCACATTACAATATGGGTAACAGGAATGTATACTAGCATTAGAGAAGGTGGTTACTTGAATTATGCCCACCTGAGGTCCATGGTCATCTGCATGATCCACTTCCGAGCCATCAGGCGGTCTCCAGATCGTAATGTTCTGATATTAAATAACATGATGTAAGACAAGGTCATAAATAATCCAACGAGGAAAATAAGTACGAGTTACCTGATTTGGATCCTCGTCCCCATCCGTTATCATACCATTGTCCTCCTCCGTAGTCATTGGATCATCGTCCCTTTCCTTCGGATCCTCGTCCATACTATTCGGACCATGCCCCGACGTCGGTTCCTTTTCAGTCTCCAGGTCTTCATCAGGCCTCTGGTCCTCATCCATACTCTTCCGACCTCTATCTGGCTTCGGGGACCCATCAGGCCTTTGATCCGATGGATCATCATCATCGGGCTCACCCCCACCTTTGAAATACTTGCTCGGATCAAGGAATTTACCCTACACCCAAACACTGGCCCATGAGCATTATTGTAATAATTAAAAACAAATTTGTATACATATTAAATGAGTACCTTCGCCAGTTTCTTCAGGTATCTCTGAATACCTTTCAGGGCGACTCCGAAGTCACCCAGTGTGTCCTCGATAGCACCAACACGGTTATCGAGCCTCTTCAACTGTCTGCTGATCCTCTTCGACCTCTTCTCTAGCCCTTCACTGTCATTTGCACTAGGTCCAGCCTCGTCTACCGCATCTGCCTCTACTACCCGATCCTCTAGAGGACCCATTTCCACATCAGCGGGCGGATCAGGTGCAGCAGCCCGATTAGGTACAGCAGGCGGATCAAGTATAACATGTGCTTCTGGTGGAAGAATGACACGGACCATGTGTTGTTCCTCAGCATCCGTAGCCACCAAGTGTTCCTTAACCTTGGACTGCAAAAAACTTATGATTAGATCGAAACGAAAAAACAAATATGAACCATACGACCACAAGAGAATTACTTACCCGTGTGTTATCGAAAACTTCACTCGCCAGCACATGAAATCCGTGCGAATAAGTGCACGACCACCTGAAAAGTCGAGGAATGGCATCATCGCTTAACCTCGTTGCTACTCGCAGGCTCAACGTCGAGATCGTCTCATACGCCCATACTTGGAATCCAGGGAAGGTAAATAAATGATGCAGTTAAATAATGTATTAAATTATATAGTTGACTTAAATCTCGCTAACCTGAAATGCGTACGGAAACCCATACAGATTATAAGTCTCAACGTGTGTGGGGTCCGCTCTTGCCTTCTGTTGGTACGTCGACAGTTTATCCTTCAGGGCGTTCTTAAGACTCCAAATCGTCCTATCAAAAATCATCGAACTCCAGTCATAGTTGCAGAACGCCTCCCACCGATCCACAACACCTAATAAGGCTGTATCTATGAACTGTTTCCTCTCCTTCCCCATCATGACAAGTTCTATGAAGTAAACTATGTCAACCTTCACAACATCCTCGTCGTCGTAAAAAACGTCCTCCAAAAAAATATTTTCCAGCTCACTATACTTAACCCTAACACTGTCTTTAAAGTAACTGTTCTAAGTCTTCGTCCAGGAATATGATTATCTACCCTATTCATCCTATGACTGAGCCCGGTGATTAGGTTGAACTCTCGCTTACCAAAAGATACCCTCTTCCCAAACAGGTAAAAGCTAATGACGTCCTGCCTAGGCTTTTCAACCTCTCTCAACAACAGGTGATGGATGAGTGCGGATGAGTGCGAAAGAATGATCTTCAGAAAAAATGGATGAGTGCGAAAGAATTATCTTCGGAAAGAATGGATTCTCCGAGACGGGGATTCTCCAAGATGGGGGTTTAGGGTTTTACTTGGGATGAGAGTGCCACGAAACGTCTGAGACGGATGGGGAGGGAGGGGATGAATTTTTTTAAAACAAGGGTACAATGGTAATTTCATTATGTCATATTTTGAGAGGGGTCATAATTAATAGAATATGGAGACACAAATTAGGTTTTTTAAAATTGGGTCATTTATCCAGTTTCAGTTATTGAAGGGTCACAAATTCAAATTTCCCTTAAAAGTTTAAGTGAAAAATACCGTTTCTTATGTCCTTCTTAATGATACTATATTATATTATTTCAATGATATATTTAATTATTAATTTATTTATATTTGACTTTAAATTATAGTTTTAATATAAATTACATTATAATGGATGATGTATAATTTTTTTTTCAAAAAAAGTGTAAATGTCTCGTAAATATAATGTAATTTATAAAAAAAATATGAAATTAGATATAGCATTTAGAAAAATTACAAAAATTAATTTAACATTTCTATGACATAGTATGTGAAATTAATTTCTGAAAAGAGAATAGAAATAAGAATAAAATATTAAAACTAATGTCTTCTACTTTTAAAAAGTTAATTTTAAGGTATAAAAAAATACTTTAAAATAAAACTATAAATTTCACGTGCGATGCGCGTATTTCTTACTATTATGTATAAATATTTAACAATTAATATTTTTAGGTATCTGGAAAAAAAACAATTAATATTTTAGGGTTATTGCGGATGAAAAGCCCATCGATTGAGGCCCAACTAGCGGCCCATCCGTCAGGCCTGAGATGAATCAGACATCTGCTCTTATAAACTCCTGCACTTTCATCGCGCAGTTCTTCGGCGTCACGTACAGAATCGTCTGGAAGGCGGAAGAATTGCTGTTCCACGTTTATCTGGAAAAATTTCTCTCTGAACTGCCACAATGGCGACTGTTATGCAGAAAATCAAGGATATCGAAGATGAGGTATGTGCGTATTCTCAATCATTCTATGATCTTAGTTTTACCCTCAACTGCTGAGCCTACGAGCACTATTTTGATTTGTTTTCTTGCTTAGTAATCGTTGGAAATGGATTGAATTACCATTTATTTTCTCCTAATTGTTCAACGATAATACAAATGTTGAAATCATTTCGAAGTTGCTTATATTGTTCTAAATTATCAGCGCTGGCTGTTTGGAACTCTAACATTAAGAATTTTACGGAGATATCCTTGTGTGCTTCTCGGTTTCATAGCTCAAATAATAATAAAGATATTAGTCATAGAGATTGTAGTCTACAATCCATCAGCTTTTGAATGTTAAAAATCAAGAGAATTGATGCAACTATGTTATTGCCATGGTTGTGTGTAGTGGTCGGGAATTTGATTCTTTTAAGTTTGGAAACAATAGTTTTCATTACTCAAAATGTAGAGCAAAAGAGAAGAACAAGGTAACGAGAAGTCCTCTCTACATGTTATTAAGTTTACAAAAAACCAATCCAGCTGAGATCCATGTAAAAAAGCCAAGACTGATGAGAAATAAGTTTTAAAGTCTATTTCATATGGATCCATAAACTCAACCCACGTCCATGTGGAGCAACGAACATTGGAACAAGATTTTTCTGATAATGAGGAAGATACTGACTGTAGCACCAACAACATTGATTCTCCTTACGTTTCAGAAGAGGAGTTTATGATTATTAGTCCATATAAGTCATTATGTTGGCTTTTCCCTTTCAAATATGGTTTATGGACCGACAGTAGAATAGTATGGGGTTAGTGCTCTTTAGTATGGGGTTAGTGCTCTTTATCAGCGGTGGCTGTTTGGAACTTTAACATTAAGAATTTTATGATGTAGCATATATGAGGTATATGAGGTATCTATGTAATGGGTGTTATTTATGTATTTACCTAGTTACTTTACGATTAGTGTTACTGCTAGTTATCAACTACTGGTTAATAGCTGTTAGGATTATATATTGTAATGGGTTTCTAAATAATCATCCTCTTACTTTGTGAATGATTGGTTCACATTACCTCCTCACTGAAAATCAGAATATCATTTCCAAATGGTAGATGGCTTAGGTTAATTCTCTCTCTATTAACCCTAAAACCCTCCAGCACCCATTATAACATATTTTACTGAAGATTTGCTCAAAACGTCAGCTAAACTACAAGAGTGACAAGAAAGGGGAACCCTTCCCATAGTCTTCTTGGTGTGACAATTATAACCTCTAGGTTTTCTATTAGGAAAACAGGAGAGTTGAGTTAAGAATGCAGCTCGAAATCTAGCCAGAGTCAGAGCCTTCTTGACGAGGACAACATCTATCCACCTGGCCATCAACATTTTCGAAGTCTATTATATATAGTTACTAAACCAATGTCCATAGATGTCTTTACCCTGGCTTTCTTTGGAACTAAGCAGATGGTCTTATTTATGTATTTGTTTAGGACTCCATTCTCAGAAATGTTTTGAAATATCTTTGGTCCGCATTATACATATACTTCAGTAGTAACTAACCAAATGACTCTGGAGATTTGGCGAAGAATTAGTAATCAATTTTGATAATTATTTGATCATTATATTTATTGACAATGTGCTTGGAAGTTCTGGAGTTGTGAAAATGAAATGATTCTTGTGCTAGTACTGTTGCATCATGCATGAGACTGATGGTTGATTAAAATGGAAAATTATGTACTTCATTGGCTGTGCAGATGGCGAGGACTCAGAAGAACAAAGCTACTGCTCATCACCTGGGCTTGCTCAAGGTACATATATCTTTGTGGTGATTTTTTATTGTCTAAACAACATAAAGATAGAGTTCTAAAAAATGTTGATGATTTAGTGTCATTGTTTATATCAGCAGAAGGTCCTTCATTTCATTCTGCTAGTATTTACGAAGCCTTGTTAGATTTATAGTATAACTTTTGAGTAAATGTATATAGTTGAAAGGCAGGAAACTCCAAAGGTTTCTCTTATGGCTCATGGAAATTATGAGATCAAATAATCCTGAGCACGCATTTAATTCACTAATTTATGAAACAATGTTCCCTTGTTATTATTTTTTATTTGTTTTTGTGGACAGAAGATATTATGTTTTTCTCATTATTTTGGCAAGAGTTAATTTTGATGGGATTAATGGTTTGATAGTTTGTCCTTACATTTGCACATGTGATGTAAGATGGTGTAATCAAGGCTAAATTGTTCCATTCTTTCCAGTTATGATTAGCTTAAGTGCTTAACAGTTGGTCCTAATGCTATGCAGTAGTATTCCCTTCAAAACTCTCAAGACACTTGTGGCTTAATAGTTCTATTCTTTTCCAGTTATAATTAGCTTAACGGTTGGTCCTAATGCTATATAGTATTATTCTCTTAAAAACTCTGTGAGACTACTAATAAGGGTATGTTGGGAATATAATTAGTATATTAGTGGGGGCATTGTGGTATTTAGTTAGGGGTAAGTTGGATATATAAATAGATGTAGCATGGAGAGAAGGGGCAATCTTTTGGGAATAGTCTAGTATAAGGAACTTGAGAGAGAGATAACCCTCTCAAAAGGCCATTGATATTGTAATTTCATCTTATATTGCAATATAGTTACATTGTTACTTTCTTGTAATTGGGATCCTAACAAACTCTCAAGACACTTGTGGTCTAACAGGCTAAACTTGCAAAGTTACGGAGGGAACTCATTGCACCTGCGTCAAAAGGAGGTGGTGGTGCTGGTGAAGGATTTGATGTCACCAAAAGTGGTGATGCAAGAGTTGGTTTGGTTGGTTTCCCTTCAGTCGGAAAATCTACACTACTAAATAAATTGACTGGTACTTTTTCAGAGGTATAAGAAAATATTTTGATATTATATCTCTTATTATCACTTCACAGTTTCAGTGTTGTATGATTGAGATTTCAATATTCTAATGGCACTTACATAGAGTTATCCTCAGAAAATTTTGCTTTCTGTGATGTTATAATTTTTTTTTTAATTAAAAACATTGCGACTTTTTAAATTCATTGAATCTAATTTACTTAGTGTGTCTAGATAATATTACCTATCTGCAGTGATGTGAGTTTTGAAACCTGTTATTGTTCTATTGTCATGGGGCCTCAATTGTTCTAAATAGTTTTAGCTGGAGCTATTTATCAAAGGTTTTGGTAATAGCATCTTTTC